GCAGAAGCCATGGAAGGTGCTGCTTACTGGCTTGCTTTCCCTGGCTTGGTCAGTCTGTTTTCTTATAAAACCCAGGACCACCAGCCCAGGGTTGGCACCACCCACAATAGGCTGGGCCCTCCCCCCACTGATGGCTAGTGTGCTAGAATTGAGAAAGTGTCTTACAGCTGGATGTCATGGAGGCATTTTCTCAACCAAGGCTCCTTCCTTTCTGATGACTCTAGCTTGTGTCAAGTTGACATGCAATAGCAGCCAGTACAGGCATACACTCAAAGCTCTTTCTTTTGAGACAGAGTCTAATGTAGCCCAGGCTAGCCTCAAACTCTTAACTTAATCAAACTTCTGATCCTACTCTCTTCACTGCATGAATTCTGGTTTAACATGCTCTTCACTGCATGAATTCTGGTTTAACATGTATGTGCTACCACTCCTGGTTTACACAATGTCATGCACTGAACCTGACCAGAGTTTCCTGTATGCTAGGTGAATACCCTAACAGAGCTATATATCTCTAGCCATAATACACACACACACACACACACACACACACACACACACACACACAATTACTTTTTGAGACATCATCTCAGAATAAGCTGCCCATGCTAGCCTTGAACTCATTCTGTAGCCTAAGCTGGACTTGAACTCACTTTGTAGCTCAGGCTATCCCTGAACTCACTCTGTAGTCCAGGCAGGCTGTGAACTTGTGATCCTCCTGCCTCTACCTCCAGAATAGCTGGGATTACAGAAATTTCTCTCTATTCTCGTCCACAGCCCTGACCAATACTGACTACACCTTCATTTCTTGGTTTACTTCATTCATTGTCTTGAACGTAGGTCCCACGGGCTAGAGACTAGCGTTATTTACTGCTCAGCCCGGCTTTGGAATAGTCTAAGCACATGTTAGGTGCTCAACAACCATTTCTGGCATATGTGAACCAACAAACCCCACCTGACTCCAGAGGATAGCCTGACCTCTACCCCCTCCCAACCTGACCTTGATCCCCACAGCTGGAAATTCGCCTTCTATACCTCATCACTTTTAAAGTGGAAGATCTGTCTCCTCAGAAAGATCGGCATCAGGGGGCAGCAGGAGACATCTGCTGTCCCCTCCCTGGAGTGATAACTGTCCTTCCCAAGCTTAGCCCAGCTGGCTTCTTCTGCCTCTCTTCCTTCAAAACAGCACTTTAAAGGTCTTTGTTGCTGGGCAGTGGTGGCGCATGCCTTTAAACCCAGCACTTGGGAGGCAGAGGCAGGTGGATTTCTGAGTTCGAGGCCAGCCTGGTCTACAGAGTGAGTTCCAGGACAGCCAAGGCTACACAGAGAAACCCTGTCTGGAAAAACAAAAAACAAACAAACAAACAAAAAAAAGGTCTTTGTTGGGGAAAGAGAGGAAAGAGGTGAAGGTTATTTTCCCAAGTCTTGGACTATTTTGAAGTTTGTCCCTCCAAAACTATGCTTAAAGCTTTAAGCTTAAACTGCACACTGGAGAGCCAGGCATGATGGCTCAAGTCTTTAATTCTAGTACCTGGGAAGTTGAAGTAGATGGATCTCTCTGAGTTCGGAGCCAGCCTGGTCTACACAGTGAACTCTTGGTCAGCTAGGGCTACATAGTGAGATTCTGTCTCAAAACAAAAGAGATACAAAGCTGTCTACCAGGGACCCAGCACTACTGCTCTGGTGCTCCTAATCCAAAACTTACTGTCCACTGAGTCTCACGGGAGGCCCTTCTGATTCCTCTCTCACTCGCTCACCCCTGCCACCCTGCTCTCTGCTCTGGAGCAGCCATTTGCTGCCCTGTCAGTACTGACTCTGCTCAAGCTGCTACCAGCCTTAGTCCCCACAAATATCCCTCCAGCTCCCGCTTATTCTCAGACCCCAAGGCAGCATGGTGGATATTGGTGTCAAGCTCTTTATTAGGCAGTAGGAAAAGGGATGCACCAGGTCTGCTGGGAAGGGAAGGCCCATGGATTAGTTTGAACCGATGGAGTTCTGAGCAGAGGCAACCGGCTGGAAACAGGAAGCAGGCACTCGGCCTTCCCACCAGCCCCGCCCCCACGCTGCTGTTAGTCTTCGTCTTCCTCCTCCAGAGGCGGTCGATTCCGCTTGAAGAAGCCAGCCTAGAGGGGGAAGGGCACAGGAGTTGGGGTCAGGGCACAGGGATAGGTTGCCTGATCCATCAGCTGCCTCAATGCTTCATGCTTTGGAGCTGTATCCCCAGCATCTGAGAAGTGGGATTTTTTAAATTGGGAGATGCTTCCTTCATCGATTAAAGAAAAAAAGTTATATTTTATTTATTTATGCATGCGCATGTTTGAAGATCAGACGACAGCTTTTAAATATTGGTCCTCTCAGCTGGGCAGTGGTGGTGCATGCTTTTAGTCCCAGCACTCAGGAGGCAGAGGCAAGCAGATGTTTGAGTTCAAGGCCAGCCTAGTCTACAGAATGAGTTCCAGGACAGCCAGGGATACATATGTAGAGAAACCCTGTCTCAAAACCACCACTGCCAACAACAAAAAAGTTCTCTCCTTCTACTATGTGGGTCCCAGGGTTAGAACTCAAGTCATTAGACTTGGTGGCAAGTACCTTTATCCCCTTAGCCATCAGCAGCCCCTGTTTTGTTTTGTTTTGAGACAGGATCTCCAGCAGCCTAGGCTGTCCTAGAACGCTCTGTGGAGCTTGTACTCTCAAACATTTAAGATTACATTTTTGTCACCATGCTTGGCTTGAACTTTTTTTCCTCTCTACATAACTCATTCCTATGTTCGACAGCGCACAGAAATGAGTGACCCTCTTAGGAACCAGGGCCAGGGTCTAGCTAGGAGGTTCTCAGCCTATGAGTCCAGACGACTTTGGGAGTTGAAAACCCTTTCACATAAGTCCACTGAAAAACATCGGGTATTTACATTACAATTCATAACCGTGGCAAGATTATAGTCATGAAGAAGCAACAAAAATAATTTGATGGTTTGGGTCACCGCAACACAGGGAGCTGTATACAAAGGGCTGCAGCGTTAGGACGGTTGAGAACCACTGGTCTAAATCCTTCAGTCTCTCATCTCACTAAGGGGAAGGACAGTATTGAACCCTGTCACAGTCAGCTTCAGTAGCTTGACACAAACCTAAAGTCACCTGGGAAGAGGGAACCTTAAAAATTACCCAGGTCAGTCAGGCATGATGGTGCACACCTCTTATCCCAGCAGCCGGGAGACAGAAACAGGGGGATCTCTGAGTTCCAGGCTAGCCTGGTCTACAGAGCAAGTTCCAGGGCAGCCAGGAATACACAGAGAAAACCCTGACTCAGAAAAGCAAACAAAAGAAACAAACAAAATTACCCAGACAGATTAGCCTGTGGCCATATGCCTTTGAGGCATTCTCTTTTTATAAAAATGTAATTTAAATTTTATTTGATATGTGTGAGCATTTTCTTTTTTCTTTTTTTTTTCTTTTTTTTTTTTTGGTTTTTCGAGACAGGGTTTCTCTGTGTAGCCCTGGCTGTCCTGGAACTCACTCTGTAGACCAGGCTAGCCTCGAACTCTCGAACTCAGAAATCCGCCTGCCTCTGCCTCCCAAGTGCTGGGATTAAAGGTATGCGCCACCACCACCCAGCGTGAGCATTTTCATTTTGCCTGCATGTGTGTACACTGCATGCATGCCTGGTGCTAAAGAAACCTTCAGAGCCCCTGGAAGTGGAGTTACATAGGGTTGTAAGCTGCTATGTAGGTGTCGGAACAGAAAGCTCGTCCAGAAAAGCATCCAGTGCTCTTAGCCCATCCTTACGTCCCTTGAGACTTTTTCTTAATTGCTAATTGATGTAGGGGCCCAGCCCACTGTGTGTGGTGCTCTCCCTGGGCAGTTGGGCCTGGGCCATATAAGAAAGCAAGCAAGGAAGAAAGCCTCTAAGCAGCGGCCCTTCAAGGTCTCTATCCACCTCAGTTCCTGCCTCCAAGTTCCTGCCTTGTTTTATCTCGCTTACTGGGAAGTGTAAAATTAAATAAATCTTTTCCTCCCCAAGTTTCTTTTAGTCATGGTGTTTTATCACTGCAACAGAAACCTAACTAGGTCAGGAGGTGAGCCCTGCCCATAGCAGTCAGGAAACTCTGAGGGCAGGTCTGTTTCCTCTGACTTCCTGACAGCAGGGGGTTGTGGGGGACGGAATCTTGAAGGCCTGCAGATTTCAGGCGTTCTGCTTGGGGGGGTGGGGCGGATGGGAGGGATGCTACTTGCCCAGCACAAATCCTCAGAAAGATGGCATTCTAATAGCGGATATGGAAATGAGACAGGTCTTGTAACCCCATCTGCTAGACTATGGCCACCTGGGAAGTCTGTGCCTCCCTTTCAGCCTCACCTTCCACATGGCCAAAACTAGCAGGGTCAGCAGCAGCAGACCGCCCAGCACGCCCACCAGCACCCACCAGATAGGAACGGCCTTCTCCTCCAAGGCCCGAAGCAGCTCTGTCTGCACCTGAGGGCAAACTGATGTCACTTCAGGGGGCCTGTGACTGGGATGCCCAGGCAAGCCATCTCCTAGCAACCTTATCTCAGTCCCACAGAAACCCCGCCCCTCTTCGGACCTTGTCTTTCAATCCAGAGAGGCCCCGCCCCTCAGCCCTGGCGAGGTCCCGCCCCACGCTGGCTGGGCGCTGACAGCAGGAGATCTAGGGTCTCTTACCAGAGCTTGCCCACTGGGCAAGCTGATCACCGGCACGGAGTAAGGTAGGGAGGAGACGTTGAACCAGGCGTGCGACTGCAGCACAAACTGCTCTTGCGGCCTCTGTGGGGGGCGGGGGTGATGGTCGCTTACCGCAGCTACTCCAGGCCTGGAGATGGCCGCACTCCAAGCCCGGGACTCCCTCCTTTGAGCTCCGCCCGGGTTTTACCCCACTCCCGCCCCAAGACAAATCTTCCCTAGGCCTGTGTGAACCCGCTCAAACCTAGAGCAAACTCCCAGCTCCCGCCTTCACAGGCCCCGCCTCCGCAGGCCCCGCCCCATCGCCGCCCACCCGCGACAGCCTCACCTGGAGGAGCCTGAGTAGCCCCAGCATGGCTTGTACTGTGACCATGGCCCGCTGCCCGCGCACCATCTCCCGCAGCTCACACTCCACCACGGTACAGGGCGCTGAGCCGTCGCAGCTCTGAGGGGGATGTGTCATAAGTTCACAGGCCCTCCTGCCAATCATCCCCCATCAAAGATCCAACACAGAGAACCAGGAGGGTCAGGAAGCACCAGTCCCTGGCTGGGCTTCATTCGGATGGTTTCCTCTATATTCCGTTTGCTCAAGAGTCCAAGGATACAGGGATGAGGCCCAGAGGCAGGGGTCATCTACACCCTGCGGTACTCGGTGTTTTTGTGACATTGGTTTGACTTTTTTTTTTTCCGGTTTTCAAGATAAGGTTTCTCTGGGTAACCCCCTGGCTATTCTGGAACTAGTTCTGTAGATCAGACTGGCCTCCAACTCAGTGATCTAATTGCCTCTGCCTCCCGATTGCAGGGATTAAAGGCGTGCACTACCATTGGCTTGCTTTGGTATATCTTCAAAGGAAAACAAAAGGACACACACACAGAGACACACACACACAGAGACACACACAGAGAGAACCCACGCGTTTCCTCTGCCCTAGCCAGCCCAGCATCTCACCAACACCACTGTTACTGCCTCCCACCTCCTCTGACTTCTAAGGGCCCCAGCTGGAACCCGCTGAGCCTTCTCACCACCAGAATTGGGTCCTGCTGCCCCGACTGCTTGGGTCCCTGCATGGATGCCTGTCTTCGATCACGCTCGTGATGGACCAGGCGAATGGAAGAAGGGCTGGGAGTGGGTAGCCTCTGGTCCACCTGGGGGGACAAGGGAACAATCAATTCGCTTCCAGGGTCTGCACCCACACCCTGTTCGGGCTGTTGGTCTGGTGTCTCTTACAGCTCCTTCTCTCTCCCAGAACCTTACTTTGAGGAGTTTGGGGGCTGGCTGTGTGGAGCATAGGAGACCCCCCTGCGGCTGCACATCCAGGATATAGAGCAGGTCCGAGGGCTGGGACTGGCCAGGAAGGTGGATGACGAGTCTGAGGCCATTCACAGTGCCAGGGCCATTGTTGTGGAGCTTGGGGGTAGAGACAGCGGGGTGGCTGGTGGCTCAGCTGCCAGGCTGTAGCTCCCAGGACTTCCCCACTCCCTACCCCCCCTTACCCAGAGGCCCCTCCCTACCTCATAGGTGTGTTCCACCCTGGAGACCCAGCTGTCCAAGCCATTCTGCTCCCTGTCACCTTCTTCTGCTGCCACCACCAGGGAGGCAGGGAAGGAGTTCCTGCAAGCGCCCAAGCCCCCAGAGTGCATCTGACTCCCTGATGGACCTCTGGTGGATCCTCCAGGACCCCACGAACTTTACCTTTTATGAGATCCTGGGGACCGGACCCTTCCACATGCTAACCATGAGTTACACCAAGCTACACGCCCACCTCCTCCTCCTCTCGTAGGCCCCAGTGCCATTTCCCCTTCCATGCCTTGTCTCTCACCCCCGAAGCTCCACTGTGGCTTCAGCTTGGACTGCCACAGACAACAGCAGAACCTCACTGTTTGGATTCTGGCTGTTCTTGCTGGAGGTAAGAAGGACAGCAGAATTTTAGATGGTTCAGGGAGAGTTAATTCCACCCCAAAGAGCATACCACACTGATTAGACCTGAAAAAGGATGTCCACTAGGACCCCAAGACTCAGAAACAAGTCACCGAGGAAGAATGGGAACAGGGCTCTTTGGAAGGCCTTCCGGTGTGGGAGGGTTTCTGTATGAGGGTTGGATGGAGGAAGGCTGGTAGGCAGCTTCGCTACCCAGCTCAGTACCTCCTGATCTGCAGCTGGAAGGACACAGACTCTCCAGCTTCTTCCAGGTCCTCAACGCTCACCAACATCGTAATTCCTATCTGGAAGAGGGAAAATCCAAAGTCACCACCCGAGTGTCCACTCTGGGCCCAGTCCTCCTGCTCCAAAGCCACTATTATTATCCTCCACCTGCATACCCCCAGGGGCTTCTCCACCCTGGGCTGTAGCTGGAGTTCCATCACCGAGCCCTTACCTGGGTGTCCTTTTTCATGGGGTTACCCAGCTCACAGAGTGCCACTCTGGACTCATTCTCCTTCTTCTGAGCACAGACCATCCTCTCAAAGCCCTGGAGGTGCACAGACAGGTGGTACAGAGCAGTGTGGGCATGGGGTGTCCTATATGTCTGCAGAAGACTTGCCAGACAGTTGTGGGGTTGGGGAGTTCGAGGGACTGCCACCTTCTATTTCTGCACTGCTCTGCTGCTGCATCATTTTTGCTATTTTTAAAGGATTTTCATATTGGAAATAAAAAAAATATTACCCAGAGTGATCTAGTTGCTACAAATTATATCAACAAAGTAAAGCCAGATGTGGTGGTGCACGCCTCTAGTTCCAGCACTCGGGAGGCAGAGGCAAGTGAATGGATCTCTGAGTTGGAGGCCAGCCTGGTCTACAGACTGAGTTCCAGGACAGCCAGGACTACACAGAGAAACCCTGTCTCGAAAAAAGGGGTGGGGGTGGGCCTGGAGAGATGGCTCAGCGGTTAAGATCACTGACTGTTCTTCTAGAGTTCAAGTGTCCTGAGTTCAATTGCCAGCAACCACATGGTGGCTCACAACCATCTGTAATGGGATCTGATGCCCTCTTTTGGTGTGTCTGAAGACAGCGACAGTGTACTCATATACATAAAATAAATCTTTTAAAAAAATGACGTAGGACTGACCTCTGGCTTCCACAGGCATGTACACACATGTTATATGCATCCTTGCAGGGCTGTATACATATGCACGTACCTGCATGCACAAAGTCTGAATTTGACTTAATTTAAATGTTTTTTTTTCTATAAGTGCCTGCCAACATTAGAGGGAAAGATGAAGTCTGCAGATTGTAAGTGCGGTGTGTGCGCGCCAGGATGTGGAAACCAGAGGTTGATATCGGGTATCCTCAGCAGCTGTTTATTTATTAAGTGAGGATGTGGCTAGCCTGCCTGGCCAGTGAGCTTTAGGGATGTACCCATCACCAAATCCCAGCACTAGGGTTCCAGGCTCACACTGCCATGCCTGGCCTTCCCTGCAGGTTCTGGGAAGCCAAAGCCAGGTTCTCTGCTTGGGTGAAAAGAACTTGAACAGCTGAGCTGTCATCGAAGCTCCCCAGCAGATGTGAGAGTGATTCTAAGGAACATTTGCTTCCTGAGCCTTTCGGTGATTTTGAAACAAACAGGATTCTAGACATTTGAACCGTTAGCCAGGGTTCTCATATGTACATTGCACCTATACACTCTGCGTCTAAAAGCTGAGAAGTTCATACGTCTTTATAGCCAAAGCATTAGAGCAGTAGATCTTTGAGTGGGAAGCTGGAGTCAAGGCTGCCTGCTGGCTATGCCCCAAGGTGGCACCTCACCTCAATGTTGCTGAGAGCCCGCATGTAGTGGGCACCTGGAGGCAGGCGCACAGCCAGCTCCGCCTCATAGGCCCCCTCACCATCATTGGCTGCTTCAATCTTCAGCTCCAACACATTGTCAGCACCAATTAGGAGCGGGGAGTCCCCCCTGTATGGGGAGTGCTTGGTTTAGGACTAGAGGCCAGGGGTGTGAGAAAGGACTCAGGTAAGGAGTGGGTCCCCCGGGACATGGAGGTACAGGGTAGGTAGAAAGGAAGGCTCTCTCACGCAGTAGCTGTGAGCCGGAGCTCAGGCACACACAGGTCGTCTTCCCCACAATCCAGGATGATCCGTGTCTAGGGAACGCAATAGGATGTGTGGGTAAGCTGAGGGCTTGTGAGGTTAGGGGTCACCTCAGAGCTCAGAGAACAACCATAGCTCCAGGGGGGCTCTTCAGACTTTAGAGAGTAAGGTTTGGAGCAAACGAAAGGGTTTCAGATGGTGCCCAAGTTCTGGTGACAGTTGGCTTATGAGTTACAACAATGTTTGGGGGACACTGGGATTTGGGGTGACTTCAAGGTTTGGAATACATGGTTTTAAGTCCTTCCCTATCAGGGATCTCGGTCATCCTACTGTTCCTACCTGCTCCTGGACATGGGTTTCTCCATGCAACACCACAGCCGGAGCTTTTCCAGTCTCTTCTGGGGGCAGCGACACGTTCAGGCTTAGCACAATTGGGCTCAGCTTGTCCCGGAAGTCAGCCTCATCCTAGCATATGGCAAGAATCTGGCTATCTGTTGCTGTGCCCACACCCTTTGCTGGAGTCCTAGGGTTGGCTCCAGGAGAACCCTGCACACACCCAGCTCCTCCCATTTTAGCTTGAGCATACTCGAAGGAAGGCCCCGACAGTGTGGCAGATAGGTTTGTTTCTTCTGCTCAGGTCCAGGTTCAGGGTGAGGCTCGCCTGTTGAGAGGCCAGCAGGAGCACCCGGCGGCCCTGACGGGGCTTCTGTAGGTCCAGCTGCAGCTCTGCCTTTAGATCTACAGGACAAGCAGGAAGGATTCAGGTCTCCCTCTAGTGGGGACACCCAAACCTCCCTTCCTCCCACACATATCACTCACTCAGCTTCTGAGGAATGTTGTGTCCTGTGGCTCCCACACACATCTGGATGTTGAAACTGCAAAGATGAGAGCAGGTTTGTGGGTTAGGGCCTCCTAAGGTCCCAGACCCTGCCAAGTCAGTGCCCTCCACCTCCTCACCAGCTGACTGGTGTTTTCGTCGGTTCCAGGACACAGTTCTTCAGTGTGGGATTCAGGAAGTCTTGAACCGTCAGGAGGACAGTGGCCATCACCACAGGCTGAGCTCTGATGGGATTGGAGGAGGCTCACCACTCTGTCCCTCGTGACTCAGCCTCCTCCTCTGATGTGGCCCCTCCCCCTAGCCCATGCTCACCTGTACACAGCCACCTTGCTAGTCCCATATGCGCCCACAATCAGGTCTACAGGCATAGGGAGAAAGGTCAAAAGTGGCCATTAGTGTAGGGCAGAGATCGAGTCCTTATCTTCCAAAAATTCTCCATACCGTACCCCCTGGAAGTTCAAGTTGTCCTGCAGCCAAATCTAAGCATCCCAGACATATACACAAATTAGAGCCCACAGCTGGCATCAGGTCAGACATGAACCCCCAGCTGTGCATTTCTCCACATTTCCAGCAAGTGCTCAAAGGCCTGTCTTGACTGGCTGGCTGCAACCCACAGTCACCTGGATATCCGTTGTCATCGATGTCGACAGCACCACGAAGGGAGAAGCCAAAGCCAGAGCCTGTGGAGAAGGGGCTGTCCAGGACCTGGGAGGGTCGTGGACTCAGCCCTTCACTCTGACCCAGGAATATCAGCACTTGACCCTGACTGCTGGGACCCCCATAGGGGGCAGCGACAGCAACATCTGGAAGGAGAGAGAAAGTGTGGCTGTTTGTGATTGAGTCTCCCCAGGGGATTCTGCCAGTGTCTCCAGAGCTGCTTCTCTAGCCCTGTTTGCTAGGTCCTGGGAGACCAAGAGAAGGGTGCAAAGTCCATATCAAGGAGGCAGGAGAGAAATCGGCCAAGTATTAACAGATTGTTACAAAGATCCAACAGTTTTCACTCTCTATGAAGGGAAATACAGGGATAAGATTCCATGTACTCAGCCTCATGGTGGACTTTGGTTTTAGTGATCTGGAGGCAGAGGCAGGTGGATCTCTGTGAGTTCGAGGCCAGCCTGATTCAGAGTGAGTTCCAGGACAGCCAGGGCTACACACACACACACACACACACACACACACACACACACACAAATCTTGTCTCAACAAACAAACAAAATATTCCATTTATTCCTGATAATTGGGTGTTTTATCCTATTTCCTGTTATTATTGTTAATTTGAGACAGGGTTTTTGGTTTTGTTTTTCTAAGAAAAGGTCTCTCTCTATGTAGCCCTCCTGTTCTGGAATTTGCTATGTAGACCAGGCTGGCCTTAAATTCTCAAGAGATCTGCCTGTCTTGGCCTCCTTAGTGCTGGGATTAAAGGTGTGTGCCACCATGCTCCTGACACAAGTTGGCGTATGTCACACACTGGCCTCTAATTCTTTATGTAGCTGAGTCATTTGTTATGACTTTGAACTTCTGGTCCTCTGCCTTTACCTCCCTCGTCTAGGAGGAGCGGTATGGGCACCGTCAAAGCCAGTCTATCTATGGTGAGCTGGAGCTTCTGCATGGTAGGCAAGGCTCTTTAAGCTCAGCCACATCCCTGTCCTGTAATTTCCATTTTAGAAGAAAACACTGAGTCCCAGAAGATTCACTAACTGAGCCTAGGCTGAGGTAAAGAACTTCCTAGTACATGTGAGGTCCTCCATTCGATCCCCAGTAAGGGGGTGGCGGTAGGCCTGGTGCGCTGGTGCACACATTTGGTCCCAGCATTCAGGAGGCAAAGGCAGGCAGATCTCCATGAGTCCTAGGCCAGCCTGATGTATATATTGAGTTCCAGGCCAGCTCAGGCCTGTTTCAAAACACAAAACAAAACCAAGAAATAAATAAATAAAAATGAACTGAATCCTATTCTCCAGATGTTAACCATTTCATCTTTAACGTGTAAAACTATCATAGCCATATCACAGCTCAATGACATCACAGCTCAATGACATCACAGCTCAATGACATCACAGCTCAATGACATCACAGGCTCACTGACATCACAGGCTCACTGACATCACAGCTCAATGACACTAAAGACTTTAAGACCTTCCCTGAAAGTGTGTCCTTTAGCGTAACCTTGTTACATTACTGTAAGAGCTCTTCGTATAAGACTAGGTTAGATCTATATCTACGTATCTTAACCGCCCTCCCTTTGTTTTCTGATTTTGTTTACAACATGTCTTGTTATTTTCTAGATCACTGTATACTTAATTCTTTTTTTTTGTTTTGTTTTTTGTTTTTCGAGACAGGGTTTCTCTGTATAGCCCTGGCTGTCCTGGAACTCACTCTGTAGACCAGGCTGGCCTCGAACTCAGAAATCCACCTGCCTCTGCCTCCCAAGTGCTGGGATTAAAGGTGTGCGCCATCACCGCCCGGCTAGTATACTTAATTCAAATAAAAGTATTTCATCCCAGTCTTCAGGATGCAGAGACAGGTGGATCTCATTGAGTTCAAGGTCAGCCCAGGGTTGCAGGAAATGCAAAGCAGATGTGGCTCCCACTGTAGCCTTCCTGGGAACCCTTGGGGCCTCTCATCCATCTCGTGGACTTCCTCATAGTACTTCTTTTTAGTTATCTCCCTACTTTCGGGCTGTCGGCCCACCTCTATCAGTAAGGGATCCATTGCTCAGTTTCTTCCTGCTTTCCCAGTGTGACCTTTGAATCCTGCCTCTGGATAGAGTATCTGCATCCACAGGCATCAGAGGGACCCTGCTCAGGCT